GGAAACTAATTTAAATGAAGTTTTACTGCCAAAGTATGACATTGATGTAAATGTTTTTTTTTTTTTTTTTTTTTTTTACTTTTCCAAAAATATGGGGTTTTCACATAGATTTGCATGGTATACCTTTGTACATCATACATTTTAACAGGATTAATAATGTGGTCATATCAATTTCATTTTTCCCATTAGTATTTCAGACCATTTCATTGAACTGTATATCATATGTACAAGATGGTTTGGCATTAAAAGCGCTTCATTAATTTTAGCATACTGGAATTTTATTTATTTTTTTTATATCCCTTTTCCCGATATTGTATGAGTTAGTTCGAGCTCACATGGTATGGATAAGCAGAAAAATGAGCATTTTCAGATCAGTTAATAACTTATTATGCAAGGTGTGTGAGTGTAGCAGGTAGAGTCCCAGATGAGACCTTGCTGCATCGCAGGGTGACCCCAAACGCAGACACACCCTCATGCGTTCGTCCATTTCGAATCACCCTGGACTTCATGGTTCCAGAACACGGAACATCAGGAGAACACCCACACGCACGGGGGAGAACGTGCAGGCTCCGCTCCGCTCTGCGCATGGCGCACCGGGCCCACGTCCAAACCCACAACACCGTAATTGGGAAGCCACAGCGCTACCCGCTGAGCTAGCATGCCACCCACATCTCACATCATTCTACTATTTCTGAAATCATCCGGCGAAGAAGAAATGCAATTGCAAAGGTCCTGTAGCGGAACAGAGTATTCAAACCATTTTAAATATCATTGTTGACCTCTGGCTTGGTAATTACATTTATTTTCTGTGTCAGTGTTTCCCAATCCGGGAATCCGGTCCTTGGGGACCCACAGTCGGTCCACGTTTTTACTCCCCCCAGCTCCTGGAGCAAAAATATGAACTGTCTGGCAGGGAGCGGGGAGGGAACAAAAACGTGGACCGGCTGTGGGTTCCTGAACACCAGATTGGGAAACATTATTCTGTGCAAACAAACGGGTGAATATATAGGTGAGCCTGAAGAGTTCCCTCTAGTGGTCCAGGCAGCACCAGTCTGGCTGAGAGGAGACCAGCCTGGCAAAGCATCCTCAAATGTGTCAGTGACAGCATCTCTACTATTTGTTCGGAGAAACATCTAAAGAATCCAAAGGAAAGTGGAGCAGCTGTAGAAAACCCACACGGGGCGCGGAGAGAACAAACGGCGCACGCACGGATCCGGGGAGACAATCCCAGAGCCCTGGCAGTGAGAGACTCCCACTGTGCTAGCGTCTCACCCGTCTCTGTAAACGCTTACGACAAATGATAGTGATACGATCACAGGGGGGGCTGTAGCGGACGGGACGGCTGCCTTCTGCTTCCTCAGTCAGACCTACACTCTCCATGGCCCGGTACACATGGATAGGGAAGCCTGATGGATGGATAAATTATTAAAAGATTACCATTACTTATATTTATAATTAGAATGTCCCAGTTAAAGCATGTTTCAGTTTGTCTGTTATTATTTTCATACTCTACAGAATAAGGAAAATATTCCATATATAATATAGAAAGTACCTTTTCATATTGCAAACATTCCTTAGCAGGCTACTGTTACTATATTTGAAATGATCTCATAGCCTTCTCATTTGCCCATATGGCATGTTACTGGTAAAAGAATATTACGACCCATAATGCTCTGCGCGACTCACATTTTCTCCTACATAAGTTTTCTGCAAGGTCACACGTTATTGGTGTTGTACGCTAACATTTGTTAAACCGTCTCAGTTCATATCAGCCTCTCTGACTAAGTGAGTCATGCCACAGGATGACTGCAGCTAGTATGGACTAATCTGGCAATTTCTTCTCTTTGACCTTTATTTTTAGAACATTTACATGCTCTAAAAATAGCGGCTATCTGAAAGCCTAAGGCGTAGCTGGTTGATGGGGCAGCTGTCCCACTCGTGAGGAGATCTCTGCTTCATATTGAAATACATGGATAATAAATACTCATAATGCACTATGCTACTTATGTGTGTGCAGGGTTAAAATATCTATGGAATTCAAAATAAATAGCATTTTAAACAGCATATTACATATGGCTATTATTATATACTATAATATCAGGTAAATAGCAAATAGTAGTAATGTATGCAACACAGCGGAGTTCAGGACACGCTGTGCTCAGTAGTGCGTTCAGGGTCTTCTGGGCAACTCATGTCACCCAAATATGTAGCCTGGCACTCTGGCACAGCGCTCCCCACTGGGCAACAGGGATACTCTGAAGACTGCTGTGTAGAAGGCGATCCGGAGTGTTACGTCATACAGGAACAAACCACAAGGAAAAGAGAGATAAATCACCTCCCGTGGTATGAGGCCTGCCCTGTTTTATCTGTACTTGAAGAACCTCCCAGAAGATTATGTATGATTATTATCTGGCAGCATAAAGCCCTGGTTCTGAGACCCTGGATCCAGATCTAAATGAGTGTATAATAAAACTGACGTATTAAAGCTGGACTGTAACATCCATATTAAAAAAAAATAGTATCTGGTCGATTTTATCTTAAAATACCTTTATCTTCACAACAGATCTCAGAATTCAGAATCGGCTGCTGGCCTTCCAGAAACGTCTCAAAGGCAGGAGTTCCAAATTCAAGACACAAAGCAACTCTGTGATCTCCAGATTCCGGAATTCCCCAACTGCAGCCTCCTGTGCCCCTCAGACAGAGGGCTTTCTGGACAGCAGAACACGATGACTCTATGTGGTCAGAGAGTGTTCACATTCCCGCAAAGCACATGACCAGATGGATGTGGTCAGAGTGTTCACATTCCCACACAGCACACAGCCGGATGAATGTGCTCAGATTGTTCACATTCCCGCAAAGCATACGGCCGGATGAATGTGGTCAGAATGTTCACATTCCCGCAAAGCACACGGACGGATCAATGTGGTCAGTGTTCACATTCCCGCAAAGCACACAGCCAGATGAATGTGGTCAGAGTGTTCACATTCCCACAAAGCACGCGACCAGATGAATTTGGTCAGAGTGTTCACATTCCCACAAAGCACGCGACCAGATGAATGTGGTCAGAGTGTTCCCATTCCCACGAAGCACACAGCCAGATGAATGTGGTCAGAGTGTTCCCATTCCCACAGACCACATGGTCAGATAAATGTGGCCATCGCAATCATATGCTCACCATATTTAGCAGCTCAGTGTCAATTACCTACAAAAGGCCGTACTCATCTGTCCAGTGATGTGTCCACTTTTAAAAATATCTGGAAGAATCCTTCCCAGGAGAACTTTCAACACAAATGTATGATGGAACAGTTCATTCAGCACATGCTCAGGGGCCCAGGGGGGAATTCTAACCATTAATACAGCTGGGCCAGAAGCTATTATTTGGCTCAAGGGCTCTGCATTCACAAAATACAATAAAAAAATAGCCTGTGCTCCTGATATCGCATTGAATGAAAAGTGTTGCTTTTCCACAGAAATTGTTACCTTTGACCTGAGTAAGAGATGACTGGACTTCTTTGTAAACTGGATTATTGCTATCAATTATGTTTTCAGACACAGAATACTGTACACAGAAGGTCTAATTCACTGGTAAGGTACTTAACCTGAATTACTGTAATAAAATCTCCAGCAGTACTCATTTTTATAGTCACTTTGTATCAACATATAATTCCATAATATCTTAACCCTGCTAGAAAGTCAGTTTGAAATCATGCTTTACTACTATGCTGTAATGTTTTATTGAAAAAAACATACAACACCCACCCATCTATCTTCCAGTACAGGGTTACAGGGGGTAGGTGGGAGGGGGGGGAGGGTAGCGTCTTGAGTCTATCCCAGGCAGTTTCACAAGGCAGGGCAACATCCTGGGTAAGATGGCAATCCATCACAGGGCAACAACACGCACGTGCATTACTACACGCCAGTGAAGTCCTCAGTCAGGAATGCAATTATTTACTGCAACTTCTGAGCGTGTTATGGTGGCAGGATGGCTCAGTTCATAGCTATGTCACCTAACAACTCCAGGGTTAGATTCCTTCCTCTGCACCTCTGAGGAGTCTGCATGTCCTTCTCTTTTCCTCCAGATCCTCCAGCTTCCTCCCATAGTACTAAGACAAGCATTTAGGCTACTTGGTGCCTCTGAATTTTTTGCAGTGTTTAGCTTATTATGTAGACTGGCAAACTAGTGCACAGTAGTCATGGACAAATGAAGCTTCATGAACCATTTGCTGTATTTTTCCACCCCACTAGGTGGTGCTCATGGTTTGTTTTGGGCCATGCTTTGAGCCCTTTTATGAACAAAGAGCACCATCTAGTGGGGTCAGAAAATACAGCAAATGGTTCATTAAGCTTCATTTGCTTCAGTCACTATTGCGAAACCTGCTGGATATGCTGGCAAATTAAGAAACTTCTGTACTTTGTGGAGGTTAGTCTAAATTGCTTTGTAAAAAAAAAAACCCTTCTCTAATTTTAATGAATTAAAATGCTATGACAGAACTTACTTCTCTGCGATTTATATCGCAGATCATGTCACAACAACAGCAATGACACCAGTGTTAAGGCTGTCATCAAAGAAACTTTAGACTGACTAGCTTCTCTGGTTCCTCCTAAATTAAAGACAGCTCTTTGGATTTGAAGAAATAAAAAACACTGGAGGACTATTATTCATATACAATAGAATTTCTGTTATCAAAAGACATACCATAGGTATCATGTTTACTGTAGACAAATGCCTTTTAAATGTTCCACCTAATAAACAATGGAATTACAGTAAATGATAATTAGTTTAGATTTACAAAACTTGCAGCCTCTCATCATAATCACATGTAGCCATTGTTACAGTATCAGTATTAAATTCCGTTGTTTTAGCTACCTGAATAATAATATGATGATACAGGACCACCGTCACGAGGCGACATAGCTTATTTATCCATAGAGTTTCTAATCTGCATAAATGTTTTGTCGTCATGTCTCAAGACTCCAGGTTTGGGGATTTGATACGTGCCCTCATGCGTAATTTGCATGTCCGTATTGATTTCATCGCATGCATTTCTTCGGATCCAGGTCTTGCCGCAAGGATCTCCGATGACTTCATCAACCAACAGATTTCCATCGCTGGAACACAAATATTTAACACCACCTAATGGAATGTAAGTTCATTTTCTTTTATGGCCCTCCTTGACACAGACAATGAACAAATGTCATGAGATTCAGGGAACCACTCCAAGAAGAACTTTGTTTTGAAAGGTGCATAAATAACTAGGTAATAATTTTTTTTAACATTGTTTGTTACAGCTTACTATGAATTGTTTTTCAGAGATTCAGAGGACCTGAAAGTAGAGCTGTTTCTCTTTGGGATCTAGAGGAAACAAGTGAGGTGCTTTGGGTGTCTTATAGGGATCATGCCATCTGGATGGATCCCAAGGGAGATGTTCCAGGCATGTCCCACTGAGTGGAAGCCACTGACCTGGCAATGTTCAGCCATGGAAAACGATGTCTGGTCAGAAACACAAGTGGCAAGAAAGTGAGTTGAGTGAGGGATTATTAAATAATCTTTGAAATATATTATTTAGATACAGACTACACAGTAATATCCCCTGAAAGGTGTTTTTTTCAAGATATTTGTACATATGGATTCTTATTTTATTGCTATCAATAGTTTAAGAAGACGATAATTAGTGTGAATAATTGTTCAATGAAGAATTGTGGTCAAAATCAAATTAACACTCCTATGTTTGGTGGAAATGACATGGAACTCTAGGCTCCTGGATCCAGACACAGGAAGTATATGACTATAGCAATCAAATCAATTTAAATATATTTCAATAGAACTAAATGAGGGAATATGCATTTTTTTTTGCAATTTTTAGAAACCTAATTGCCAGTCATTTATTATAAATTCAACAGGAGCTGTTTTACAGCAAACTTTGAGTGTCTCACTAGGCTGACATTTGTATCGCAAGTGTTACTAGAAGTTATATTTGAAAAAATGTAAAAAAGGAACTGTAATCACTTCTACAGAGAAGCCAAATTGCCAAAGAAATTCTCCATTTATATACAAACCCATAATTTTCTCATAAGATTATTCACTTTTATACATTTTTTTTGAGAAGACTATATAAACAGTCACTGCATTGTTTCTTGGTGAGTGTTTTGTGCAGGTTATATTTAAGTCGTTAACTGTTAGGAATCTCTAAGCCCCCTGCAGAGTTTTACATGCTTTGATGTTTGATAGTTGTCAGGGCTTTGAATTGCTGGCATGCATATTCTTATATGAGGAATTCCATAACTCGGTGTTTGATGATGAAGGTGGAGGATGATGTCACCACATGTTTTCATCCATCCGCCAATCATTTATTCCAGCCAGAGTCAGAGCGGGGCCTGGAGCCTATCCCGAAGAGCCTAGGGCACAATGCTGGGGTACAGCACTGATAGCATGCCAGTCCATCGCAGGATCATGTGCTATGAGTAACTTAGAGATGCTAATTAAGTACATGGCATGTCTGTGGGAGGAAACAGCCGTATCTGGAGGAGAACATGCACCCAAACACAACAGTGACGGGATGCTAACCCCTAACCCCAGAGCTGTAGGACAGCAGGACTATCCACCAAGCCACAGTGCCACCACGTAATCCTATGTACTACTAGGTTCTGCGTTTGTTTTGATAGTAACTCAGACTGGAGACTCATCCATATTTCCTGCTGCATGGCTGAGTGTCAGAGTCGAGACATGCTAGCTTGTGACTTGTCGTTTCTCCTCCCTGCTGAAATGGCAATTTCTGTTGTCCCCCCTTCCCTGTTTGTGCCTGGGGGGGGGGGGGGGGGTAGCTTCTGCAAAGGATGATCAGGACACCAGGTTTATTCATGATGATTTGTATCGCCTGTTCCTAGCTCTCGCCAAATGTAGAAATCCACTCCTATAATAGAATCCGTATTTGTTTCCACCCACCAAACCCTGTGCTGTTGTTAAGCCCATCCTCAATAAACTTGTCATGTCCTGACCATTGCTTCTGTCGCATGGTTCTCTTTTCCATCCTAACTGAGGGATTCTCACACCCGTAAAGGGAATATACAAAAATAAAACTCTGGTCCAATGGAAATACCCAGCATCACATGGTTCTGCTGTGTCTACCAGAGGGAATCTCACTCCCAGAAAAGGGAATATACAAGAATAAACTTCAGGTCCTTTGGAAATACCCTGTGGAACATGGTGCTGTTCTCTGGGTTACTCCGACTTTCTCACAGCAATCCTGTACTGTGTTTTAGTGCATGGCTGTATAGAGTATTCAGGTTGTATAGAGTATTCGGGTTGTATTGAGTATTCGGGTTGTATTGAGTATTCAGGTTGTATAGAGTATTCAGGTTGTATTGATTATTCTATTGTGTGATGCACTAGAATTCTGGAATAACTTGGTGATACCCAAAGAAAATACACAGCACAGCTACTACATTCATCCTCTCCTGCGTTTATACACATTGTCTGTACTCGGAGTATTTGAAAGCTGTGTATTGGTTCATTCACGCTCAGTGCTGCTACCTTTCTTTGTACTATCATATTAGGATATACAGCAAGCCTGGAGTTGCTAAAAAATAAAATAAAAAAAATATATAAAGTCCCCATAATGTTGGTATCAAATGTTTATGGTAACACATAAACAAAGTAGAAGTTTTAAAGGTTTTGGTATTATTATTATTATTATTATTATTATTATTATTATTATTATTATCATTATTGCCATATTGAATACACAATCCAAAAAGAGGATGAAGAGAAACTAATTTTTTTATTTGACGTTAGAAAATATTATGTCAATGCATGAAATGGCTTTACATTAATAGGCTGTATAAGTTGAAAGGGAAAACAGAAATTATCCCAAAATCCATCAATCCATTTTCTGTAACCACTTGTTCTATTGAAGGTCCAGAGCCTATGGGCAAAAGGCAGGGAAGAACCAAGGATGGGGCACCAACCCAACGCGCATACACATGCAGTTTGGTAACTCCTGTTAACCTCAGCATGTTTTTGGACTGGGGGGGGAACCAGAGTACCCAGAGGAAACCTTACAGCAACATGGGGAGAACATGCAAACTCCACACACATGGAACCATGGAGAAGACTCGGACCCTGGTCTCAGACGTGTGAGGCAACAGTGCTAACCACTGCACCACTCTGGTCCCAAAACCACGTTAATTAAAAATAACAGGTTCAACAGCCAGCAGAATGGAATGAAAATTTCAAGTGTACCTGTGAATTCTAATCCAGGATATCCCTGGCTCCGTTCCACTGGAAGTAGTATTATCGTGTTCTGTGTAGCCTCACTCACACAAATATGAAGACATCACTAGACATGGTGTTTTTTTGTCAGCTATTGACTCAGTTAAACAGGTCAGCAGTGGACAGGGAAAACAGCAGGGTTTTGTCACATCTCAGTGCTGTCCAACAGCCAAAAAGGGATTAATGCTGTTTTCTCCCATTTGGTCAATGATCTGATTTTTCCTACTGTCTTCCTGTTATTAGAATTGAAGCTTGCAGTTGGGCTGCATGTGCTGAATCCATGCACCTAGAGTCTGGCTGCTCTGCACCATCACCAAAGACACAAAGGCTCATGCCAATGCCTTTAAATCTCTCCTTGAACTATTGTTACAGTGCACCTTTGATTATTACTATAGAAAATGCCATTCATTTTCCTCTTTCTGTTATACAACTTTAGTGCTGGGTAGTTATTACACTTCTGGCTTTGAAACTCATTATCTATAGTTATAACCGCTGTTCGGCGAACAAGCAGGAAGCGGGGAATCACCAAACGGGCATCCAGAAATCCAGAAAGACTGGGTTTATTAAGGGAAAAACAGGGCAGACGGCGACGAACATTAATGACGGATCTGGGGAATACTGACTCAGACACGGACTAAATACACAAGACAAGCAGAAAATAACAGGCAACAGGTGATCACAATCGGGGTAGCACGCGTAGGTAATGAGGGGGCGTGGCACACACGAGGATCGTACGAGCAGGTCATGACATATATATATATATATAATACAAAGATATTTTATACAAAGATCATTTTTTGCCTCCTGCTTCTGCAATATTAATATAATATAACAATATAATCCCTTTACTGCATTGTTTAATAACACCCTCTTCAGTTACAGTACTCCTATAGTGTGTTACTGTTTGAGGTAAATTGTGTATTTCACATTATTGACAAACAGGAATTAATAAGTTGGGTGCATAGAACAGTATTTAATAAACACCTTTGGTCAATTAATAAACCAAATATCATTAATCAATTACACCCCCAAATATTTTCAGTGTAGTTTTCGCAGTTTAATGACTGCATTAAAAAAAAAAACAGGATTCCAAACTGGCAATTTATTAATTGAATCGGAATCCTGAATTACATTGAGGTGAATAGTTTCATAAGTATCTTGTCAACTTGGACTTGCATTGCAGGTGACACTATGCCATGTAGAGTTAAGAAGGCGGTAACACTTGGTGTGACATTTGACATATCACCGTACTGTCACCCTAGGTAGGAGCTTATGAGAGTTGTCACTGAGGTTACAATTTAAATAATCTGTCAAAACGTGGTGTGTGACGATTTTAATATTACTGACTTTTTTGTGTTCAGGCACAGATTCAGCAATTCTGTTCTAAGGAAATGTCAGCATTACAATAAGTGCTTCTTTCAGGTATCATTCCAATATAAAATAACTATCGTCAGATTTAATAATAAAGACATTTGGTCTGAACATTGTACTGCCCAGTATCGGCTTCAGTTAAATAATCCATCCACATTCATTAACTTTTTATTCAGTGCGGAGATGAGGCAAGATTGTTCCCAGAAGCACAAGGCAGGAAGCCAGTATATTGCAGTGCACACATGTACACACAGTGGGCAGGCCAGAGATGCAGCTTCACCCACTGCATGTTTGACACTGCAGGTGCAAACTGAAGCACCTGGAGGAATATTGCTTGGACAAAGGGGAGAACATGCAACATCCATACCCACAGACCCAGGAAACTCACCCACAAGCATTGAGGTGTTACAGTGCTAATCACAAAGCCACAATGCCATGTTTTATTTGTTAAAAATGTAAAACATTAATCATAAAAAAAACAAAACAAAACAAAAGAACAATTATGAAATGTTTATAAAATGACAATAAATTAGACAGTTATCTTCTTGGCAGAGTTTATGACGCGGAAAACAGAAAAGAAACAGAAAAGCTAAATAAAGCATCATTAAAATCTATAATAGTAATTAAAAATATGCACAAATGGAAATCAGTCATTTTAAACTAGTTACATATGGTAATTTTAGTATTTTTCATTATTTTGCAGTAAATTGAGTATGAGTTGAAATTAATTTTCACAAAAAAATCCATATATCTTCACATCCCTGCAACCCTGACAAGGATGAGCTGCTAGAAGAGGGATGCATGAATAACTCCTAGCATCCGTGCAGTCAGCGGCTGCTTATCCAAAAGGGATTTCAGTGATCCAGTATCCACCCAAGGAGACTGGATTTGGAGGTGGACAGAACTAAGGTGCAATGCCAGTTCATCGCAGGTCACTCATTCACAGAAATATTTAAGGGAAAATTCCACTCAAATTAATTGTTCAGAAACCCAGATACTGGCTGAACATATGCATTAATAACACCAGTTGATGACATCAAATGCTACTTACTACAGAGCTCTTTGAAAAATAATTAATTAATTAATTATTATTATTATTATTAATAATAATAATAATAATAGTGCAATATCAGTTCCAGAAGAAGCCTGAATAGTTGGACAAAACCCATGTAAACACACACAAAGCTGAGGGTGACTTGAAGATTGAGTCCTGGAGTTGTGAGAATATGTACAAAGCCTCCTACTGTGTCACCGTCTTTCTCACGGACTCACACAACCATACACACGCATCAACATATCAGCTGCATGTCAGTGGGTAAAATTGGCTAAATAAATATTTTACACAATTTCCGAAGTGCTTACTTTTACTGTGATTTTCTGGAACATGCCAGGAGTAGATAAATATGTTGACAGACCGTTGACCATTGTTTCAAAGCATCACTAATTGTCCGAAATATTAAGAAATCGGTTCATAACATAAAATTCACGAAAAATATGCATATTGTCTATTAAGTATTTATAATCATTTATATTATTTTTAAGTACACAAAACATATTTCACATTATTATACTGTTAATATTAATTCCTCTTGCGACACCATTTATAATTTTTTTCAGGCGCCTTGCAATTTTTCACACTAGATCACAGATTCTATACTATCGGCCAAATGGACAAAGAATTTATGTCTGCTGGTTTCTGCTGCTATAACATCTTATCGGTACCAGCTAGCTATACGTAGTTTGGGCTTCTTTTACGCCATGAGAACCGTTTCCATGGCAACGGGGCGTTCCGCCTCACCGTCGACTTTCCGTTTGCACGGATTTCGGATCCGACCTGCGGGGAACGCGCATGCGCACATCCCCCGATCCCTAAATGGGACAATTCTTTATGTGACGTCATGTCTCAGCCGTCTCCACAGAAACTTTTGTCCCCGCAGCCAATCAGAGGGCTCGGAGCCGATCAGAGGGCTGAGAATGGGATAGGGGGCTCTGCGGAGCTCCGACATCCCGTGTTATCACTCCCGGCTGCAACCTTTCTAGACACCCAGCATAATGTACTGGTGGAAACTGCGCGCATAGGGATCCGGTTTTTGCGACTGCAACTGTTCTTTTAGGGGACTTTTCACGGGGTGATGGCTTATACAGAGTTTAGCGGGCTGTCCCTAATGACTGGTCGTTTGAGGAGTCTCCAGAATCCGGCACTTCGGTGATAGTGCCACCAAAGAAATCCAGATTATTAGGCGAGACAAACTAAATAGAAACGCAACACCGCTGGATCGGTAAAGAAGAGCCTGCCGAGCACTTTGGGTTTGCACTTCTTCCATGCAAAGGGCATATTGAGAAAGCAGAGGATAGGAGCAGTGGCTAGTCGCCAGGTATCATTTGGCACAGAGGAGGTGCTTCTGTTCGGATCACATCTATGGACAGCGGGGATACGGCAGATTTGCAGAAAAGCCGACAGATGAAGCGATTTACTTAGATTTTTTGTAACAATGATAATGAGAGCATGAGCTGAAAAAAACAACAGACCTGACCCGATCCGAGGAAAAATATATAGGCTATATTTAATGCCACTCCATCGATGCATTTTTGGTTACTTAAATGCAGGAAATATTAGGACGATGAAAGAAAACAGTAATTGTCGAAATGATACAAACACGTCCAATCAATAACAATATTTTGTATCAATGCACAGCTAACCATACCATATAATCTATTTAATGAATCAGGAAATTATATTTACATCTTTGTCTTTGGATATTTACCGATTTTGTTTACATTGACGAATTCAGTCAGTAAATAATTAAGTCCGGCCGAATAGTAATAATATTTACTTACGCGATTTTCCGCAGCTTTTGTGTGGTGCAGGTTTTAAGAAGAATTGTTAAGATAAAAGATTTATCTAACCCATATTTCATCCTGCGAGAGACACGGTCCAGGACAAAATAGTACTCAGGAGACACAACACGAAGAGCTGATGCCTTTCCGATGTCGAATTATATCGATTCCCGTCAGCCGGTCAGTTCTGTGTGAAATAAAATAAAGAATAAGATAAAGAGGCGGATTTGCCAAGCCGAGTATAAAGTGACGGTCCTGCTGGAATAAGGAAACCTTTCACGTAAAGAAAGGAGAGTAAGGCGCTTGGGGATCCGATTAACTCAAGGGTGCGATTCACATTTATAGAGCATCACCTGAGGATCTGATGTAGGATCACGACACCAGCTACAAAGGTTCCTTTTTTAAAAAAAAGGAGAAGAAGAAGAAGAGAAAAAACTTGCACTTTGATCGAAATTTATACTGGTTACGTTTTTTCGAGAGGATTTTTTTTGTATAGTCGATAATTGCCGAACAGGTGTCCACATAAAAAAGGTGAAGAAGCAGAAGACAAGTTGCGTTTCTTGTGGCCCGTTAAAAAGCCATGGAGGGCGATCGGGACATGTACCGCCAGTTTCAGGACTGGTGTCTCAGGACATACGGGGATTCCGGCAAGACAAAGACAGTGACCCGTAAAAAATACGACCGGATTGTGCAGCTCCTCAATGGATCCGAATCCAGCTCCACGGACAATGCAAAGTTTAAATTCTGGGTCAAGTCCAAAGGTTTTCAGCTTGGTATCAGTGGAGAAGAAAAACAAGTGCTCTACGTCCCAGTAAAAACAGCGGTTAGTACATCATCGGTGTTTTGTCAGTGATGTATGTCCAAATAAACCATCAGATTAAACGTTTTAGTCCATGCATCCAGTAACCATATTGTCTCTTTACAGTCTCTGTTGAGCTAATTGTTGCGATCGCGGGTTGCCTACCTTCTAAAGCGGTACCCATTTTATTACCTACCTCCTTTATAACAGCCTGCGTACCATGTGGCACTCGATACCATTGTGGGATGTGAACTAAAAGCAGACGCCACAACCCTCGTAACATAACCGAGGCAAACTGCAACGATTACTTATTTGGTTTTATGGTTTGCTTGCGTGGTGTTAGTGCCTTGAAAGGACATAACAGAACACTGGTTATTTTGTTGAATTTTTAACACGAACGGACATATTTTCTCAGCTATACATGCACACCATTCTGACCATTGTTATTAAAGCACTGAATTTTCAGATATTTGAATTTGTACTGCAGACAAAAGGCATTTTATTGTAGTACTCAGTCTTTCAGGCTCTGCAGTGTATTGTCACCAGCTGCTTTTCTTTAGGCTTCTCCGTCCATTCAGGAGGAACCACCAGAAACTGTCTGGTGCCGGACCTTTGAGTTCCCCAGTGATACGCAACAACAAACCCACCATTTACACAGCAGCTTCCTTATCTTTTGCCTTCTGTGAACCTTGCAGATGGAGTAAAGCTATGATGTGGAATTACATTATTGTTTAGTGCTAATAATAATAATAATAATAATAGTTTTAAAAATCCCAGTTAATTCTAGGTTCCTTTATCATTCAGTTTGAGAAATGATCCCAAAAAGTGCCACAATGAATTAGTACGGTTTGTGTGTCTGTTGAGGTAGAGGCATAGATTATATTTTAAAATATTTTCTTTAATATTGTATGAATTCATTATAATATGTAGACTGAAAAACGCAATAGGACAATCAGGTGTAGAAAATGGGTGGATGATGTATGTATGGATGGATGGATAAATGAACAAAAAGCATTATTGGAAACTATCAATGATGATTAAGTGAATTGTGTGTATAATACAGAAAATAGGACCCTTTACACTGGCTGGGAAATTCCAGCTTGATATTGCAGGAAACATTACCCCATGGCTGGCTATGTGGCCAGTTCATTGGATTAAAGCACACTGCATCCAGGATTCTGCGTCCTGTGCGGACGGTTTCCGTAGCAGCGAGGCCGGGTAGCACCCGAGAGAGTTTTGAGGCACTGGGACGTGACGGTTTGGCCCATCATAGAGGCAGACGTTTCACTGATGAACTGGGTCAGCCTGAGTGATTCTGAGTGATTGAGCTAAAGTCAACAAACGACTCTACACAGCATCAGCTCTCTGAACAACAATAATCATTTTCATAAAAAACATTCTTCGAGACATCTCAGTCCTATTCTATTTCATATTTCACTTTTAATAATAATAAAATACTAATAAATTAGCAATTTAATACAGCGGCTTTTTAATACAGTCATGGTGTCTGTCACCTATTCATTTGTGATCAACTATCTGACTAAATAAATAACATATTGCAGCTATATACAGAAAATATACTCTTTGGTAGGATGTGTATTTATGGCTAATCAGAACTAGACCTCATATAGCCTAATCTGCAGCAATTTTTAAAATAAATTATTATATTTTCTTAAGGCATTTTCACATTTTAAACGTATAATACTAAATGTTTTTATTGCTATTTAAATTTGTTTATATAATATTGTTGCTACTTCTTACATTTTAAATGCTTCAGACAAACAGTGGGAAGGATGTTTTATTAAGACACACTTTAGTGAAATTAATAGAGATTAATCAACTTCCATCTATGTTTAAAGTGACGATTGATCTGCTGCTGGCAATCCATTACGAATTCAGAAGGCAGCCTAGTTGTTACCATTACTTGACAGGTCTAGATTACTTTGGGTTTGGAGTGCAGGGTATCAGTAATATATATGGGTTGCACTAGAAGGTACTTTATGCACTTTAAAACAAACATACAAGCTGAGGATTCTACCACTTCTAAGCTTTAAGAATGACTTGGGCTCTCTGATCGCGCAGACAGTCAGTTCTTTGGGGGAAACGTGTGATTAGCCTGTGGATCCCAGGAGGCCTTTTATTCTGGCCTACATGGCTTGCTGAAATAGCAGACAAATAAACCCAGAGGACCGATGGTGAGCGTCTATAATGCAGCAGAGAACACAAAGGTTCCAGCATAGCTGTGGGGGAGCAACCCGATAGTTCCCTGACCCCCCGATGTACCGAACCGAGGCTTAAATGCCACTTGGATGCACAAATGTACCAAATGGAAGGTGTTCTTGGTTATTGAATCGCCTCAGTGCTGCCCGTCATAGTCTTATTACTTGTTCAAGAGGCAACTCTGAAGTCCCCACGTGGTGGATCCAGATCACACAGGGCCACTATGGCTCTGCTACTGTAAGCGATGCTCGTAACAGGGATTCACGAGGAAGTGGTCACCAACCGGTGGACAAGACACAGTCACTAGTGTCGACTTCTGCTATTCCACAGTAACGGTGTGGTGTGTGGATCTGCTGGTTAGGACGCTGGACGCTTGGAAGGTGGTCGACTGGCCGATTCAAATCCCGTCGGAGTAAGAATGATGTCATTATCAGGCCATTTGAGCAAGGCCCTTAACCCCACTTGGTCCAGGGACATTGTCTAACCCTCTTCTATGATCCTCACTTGTATGTCATTTTAGATACAATCGTCCGCTAGATATATGAATATATATATGTATAGAGCTAGAGAGAGAGAGAGAGAGAGAGAGTGAGAGATAGATATATTAAGGGGTTTGTAGCTAGCTTACATTTCACAGATAAATTATAGCAACCTCAGCCAGTTAAATCCCAGTAGTCGTGAGAGCAGCATTTATAGCACTGTTAGATGAACCTTGATGGTTCATCAGGCGAACCACAAATATGTTGTAGGGGTGTTGAATCGGAATGAACTTTTTGTCAAGCACGTAACTATGAGAATCGCATGGAAATTGTCTTGGTGTGTTTGGTCTTGCTCGGCCTAAAAACACAAAGTACTCTACAATACAGGCAACACACAGTACTCAAACACATGTTACTGCATTCAGCAAGTAAACAATTCTATCAAGCGGAGGGGTGCAATTGTCTTAGGAATGATTGTTGACCAGGAAGGCGGCTCTGGGAGAGAAGCTGCTTAACACAGCAGCATTTTACAGAACTCTTTTGCATAGTGTTCCAGGTTATCGCTGGCGAAGATGCAAGGCAGTCCGTCTATCTAGTTACATTTTCTCACACCATTTATGATGAGGCCGATAAGGGTGCTATAATTTCCAATGTTTAGCATGATTAGCAATCATCAGTGTATAAAGAGTAAATAAGATGAGAAGGAACACATTCTGGTTTGTGGGTCACATACTCCGTGTAAGTCAGGATGTTACAGATCAGTGACAGATGGATGAAGGTACATTCAGAGAGTGAGATTTTGGGGACATGCTGGCCATTCCACTAAAAATCCCTCAACAGTTATGTTTTATGGATAATGTACATCTGACCACCGTTTAGGAAGCATACAAACATCTAGTACAAACATGATTGATGGATCAACAGAACAACTGACTGTAATTTGGTTAAACTGAAATTCATAACCATGTCGGTTTACGCAAAACAACCCTCATCTAACTTTAGATTTGTGGTTTAACAGTTTTCAAGACGACGCACTTCTGGAGCACCTCAGATCACCTCTCAATAGTGTCGGCCGCTAATCCTGAGCACTGCTTGGCCACTCCATGCACTTTCTTTTTCTGGTGGGTCAACAGACACAGACACCCAGCAGATTTAGAATGGGCTGTGCCTGAAAGAAGCACTGGAGCATGATAGAAGCAGCGCCAGGGCATGTACTGAATGCGCAGCAGACAGAAAGGCACTAGAGCTGTCAAACTCATTATTGTACAAAATACTGTGGGTGGAATCACTGGGGGTCACCATTTTTATCGCGATTTATGTGGCCACACACCATGTGACCAGTGCACACCATGTGACCACTGCACACCATGTGACCACTGCACACCATGTGACCACTGCACACCACATTCAAAAACAGAGACCTTTCATATTTATCATCTGCGGCTCTTTAAATAAATGAATAAAAATTAAAACATGTAGAACAAAACTCAGGTAATTAGTTACTGTAGCCCCATCTAACTTATTTACTTTATATGAATCCATTTGTGCCTCTTTCTACTTTCAGAGACTATTTCTCTGATGGACTGGGCGATTTAAGATTAGCAGATTAGCTATCTTAACATTTTTTTTTTTTTTATCTCTAATAAACATTTACCAAATGGATTTCTGTTTATTTTCTTTTTTATATGATTGCTTTTTCATTTTTGGGGACACTTAAACAATTATGACATGCTTATTTTTAACATAGGTATCGTCGTAAAAACAATATAATACTTTTAAGGTTATAAAAAGGCTAAAAACAGATAATGGGAAGATTATAAAATTGAAGCAATACTGTATGTTACTCTAAGATGGGGGTTATGCAAAATGAACTACTTAGCTGTTCCAATCTATAAATGCAACAGGAACCAGCAAGCTGTAATGCACCAGAGATTCCAGAACAACTACACGCCTTAGTGGTATAATAACGAACAGAAATTCAAAGCTTGAAACGATACAGCTAAATGCTCACACAGAAATACACATTCATTATTTCAATACTGTAGTGCTACATGACAGCAAGCTTTTATTCAGAAGATAATGAGGTTTTTGGTTTACAGATAATTCTGCCTGCAAAAACATGGTATGTACAAAGAGATTTGGCTGGAACTTAAAAAATACAATCAGTGCAAAAAGCTTGGTAAATTGTAAAGCTACTTCTAAAATTCAAGATGGACTGGAACGCTGTATCAGTTTTCTATAGGGCCGGCATGCATAATTCCAGGGCCTGGTACAAAATTATTTCAACAGGGCCCCCTGCAGGAGAATCACTGTCTCTCCTGCTAC